CTTTTTTATATTATCATTACTATTTTACAATATCTTGACAATCAAAAAAGAGAGTGTTCTTTCAATTGATTAGTTCAGGATACAATTAGAAAGTCTCTGGATGAGCTAATTTGTATTTCTGGATTCAAATCAATGAAATAACAGTTCCTGTCCCATGAAGGTCTTCAGAGGCAGGTTTTGATCGGAGGCCTAGTTCACTACATAAGTAAGTAAGTTAAAATGGCATAAAGTATATTTATTTATAACAGTCTTTAAACCTGTGAAGTAAAATCTCAAGTCATTCCTTATGTAAACTGTTGGGCTCACCCTAATCATGAATTTTGTGTACAGGTACAGCAAAAAAAAAAAAAAAAAAACAGAACATTGTGAAAAGGTTAAATATTTTTTGTCAGATTTTATTTACTTCTGAAAGTGAAACTCGTATACAGATTCACCACACAGAGTGAAATATTTCAAGCCTTTATTTCTTGTAATTTTGATGATTTATGGCTTTTGAATAATGAAAACCCAAAACTCGGTGTCTCAGAAAATTAGAATATTGTGATAAAAGTTCCATGATGGAAACTTTTGCACACTATCCAACAATGTTCAGTCAGGTAATCTGGACGGTTTCTTTTATTGATGAGATGTTTCGTCCTTCATCCAAAGGACTTCCTCAATCTGAGGAGACACCAATTTTTTTTTTCCACAAACAGCATACTCCATAGTGAAAAAAAAAAACAGTTAACTGGTGCTAAGATGGCCTCCGGGGCCCGCCCTCTCCCCCGTCACCACTTGAACCACTTTGGCATGACTGTCTCAGAGAAGTTGAGGGGGGAGAGGGTGGGCCCCAGAGACCACCCTAGCACCAGCAAACTGTTTTTTCCACTATTGAATATGCTGTTTGTGGAAATCAGTTTGTTTGGTGTCTCCTCAGATTGAAGAATCCCTTTAAATGAAGGACGAAATGTCTTAGCAATAACAGAAACCATCCGGATGACCTGACTGAACATTCTTGGATTTTTACCTGAATTATTGAGCATGAACTTTGGTGCTTGCACACTAAGTACATTAACTCCTAGACATGAGCTACAAATGTCCCATTCCTCAAGTTGAGCCACTCCTGAACCAGAGACAATGTCAGAAGTGTCTTAATTGCTGAAGAGACAAAGAACTGGACTGTGGCTCAGTGGTCCAATGTCCTCTTTTCAGATTAAAGTATGTTTTGCGCGTCATTTGGAAATTAAGGTCCCACAGTCTGAAGGAGAGGCCCAGAATCATACAATGCTTCACTCTATGTGTAATGAATCGATATATGAGATTCACTTTTTGAAGTGACTGACAAAAATATTGATTTTTTTCACAATATTAAAAATGTTTAAGATGTACCTGTGTGTTATTTGTCTCCATAGATTAAACTTGGGTCATCTCAAAGGCCACCCCATTCATTTGAGGAAACTATATGTTTAAACAATATAAAAATTAGAAAGCGTAGTTTCTGCAGTTAAAAGGTGGCCGGTCCAAATTAATATATGGTGGTGGTCATCTTGGATTTTGATGTAGCAACCCAATTTTTATATGTATATATATATATATACACACATATATGGTGGCAGCCATTTTTGATTTTGACATGGCAACCCAATATTGGAAAGGAACCTTTCTTTGGCCTAGATGTAGTGACAAACCAAATGGACATTGGTTCCAGTTTTCAAGTCATAATACTCACAACAAGCATGGACATTATAGCCATAGCCATCTTGGATTTTGACATGGCAAATCCGGTTTATGAAATGAACCTTATTTACATCTAAATGTATTCACATACCCAAAAACGAATCTGATATTGCACTTATTTTTCAATTTATAATGTTCACAACATGCTTGGACGGACATAGGATATTTATAATTCCCACAATTCACTCAGCAACAAGGGACAAAAAGTGAGATGGGGTATAGGGCTTAAAAATACAAACACTTCTTATCAACAGGACTCATAATGGGTGAAAATGCTTAAATGTTTAATGATACAAAAGCAAAAATCATGTCAGCAGTTCAGAGGAAAATAAAATAAAATAAGGACACAGGCTGTGTCCTTGTTAACTTTTGCTGACCTTCTTCCTTTCAGCCACTCTTTCCCATGAGGATGATGTGAAAGTGTTGTGTTAAAACAGTTGGAAAAGTGTGAAAGACATGAGGCGTATGTGTGAGAGCGGTGCAAGTTCACACGTTTTTCTGCAAGAGTGACCACCAAGGTAGAGAACTACACACTCACAATTACAGTTGTATGGTCAGCAGTGAGCCTTCTACTTTACATATCTTTGTTTAAACTAAGTGATTATTCACCTCCACAAGTCTTCTTGTCCAGCAACTGGTAGCCGGTTGGACACTGGCACTCAAACCCGATCGGTCGGTCCATGCAGACATGGGAGCAACCACCATTATTGATCATACATTCATTTAACCCTGAGAGACAAACATGAGAAATGGTCAAAATTAAGGCAATATAGAAGAAAAAGAGACACTGATCAACATGTAGATAAAAATCCTCTGTAATGGACTTCTCTGCTCAGCACTTACCTTCCTGCGTAATCTTCACACTTTATTGCAGCTATGATACCTGCGTATTTTCCTTTAAAAACCTATCTCTCATGTTTCTAAAAGTAAAAATAAATGTCAAACATATACAAACACTGTAAGCTGATTAATTGAAAACCAGTCCCATCTGCTGGGATGAAAATTGTGTAAAGGCAATTAATGCTGGTGACCGAGAAGCTGAGAAGCCCAATAAGAATTTGTCGCAGGAGAGGAAAAGCCTATTTCGGTGTAAGCTCTTATTGAATCCTGCACAGTGATTCTAAAAATTAAGGACCTCAAATAGAGGGTGCAAAATCAAAAAGCACAAAGGCATATTTCTTTTTGAAGTAGATCAAAGCAGTTGGCACACGATGGGTGAACAACGAAAAACAGCTTTTCAAGTGAGGTTGAGCAGCATGAAACAATTTTACAGCAAGTTAGCTTTGAATTGACTGAAATGGTAAGTTTTAGTCTTTACCACATTTTGTTCGTGTTTGGTTTAAAATGGTAAATTAATAGCAGAAGAAAAAAACAAAAAGCAAAACTGGTCTGCAGGACTTGATTTTGCACATAAATCCAAGCCTTCACAATGAATAATGAAGCTTAAGCTGTAAAAATGTTCTCACAGCTAAATTCAAGAGAGTACTTTGTCAGAAACATGCAACTCAGTTTAATGATTCACAAGTGTCAATCAAGTGCAACGTTGTCTGATAAGAACAGTCAGTGATGTAAAGATGAAGCTGCATCAGTTGAATATTTCAGCATCATACAGAATAAATATTTTTGAGTTGTAGGTTTACCTCTCAACTACTGTATTTTATAATGATTTATGAACTTAGGTACTACTGTGATCCAGAGCAGCATGTTCATGTTTTGCACTAAATAATAGTCAAGCAATTACAAAGTGTTTCTTTTAGAAAAAAAAAATGCCTCTGAGGAGCAGCATTAAAAGTGCGAGTACTGGACTGACCCACTATCATTACAGAAGTTGACAAGTGGTACACTGATGTGTCCTGTCGCACAGAGATTTGAATGGTGAATGCTTGTAGTTTTTGAGATGTGATTTTCTGGATTGGAGTTGAACAGGGAATGAAAGCAAACCTTAATATTTTTGGTAAAAGTTATTCAAGTGAGTAGGAGTTACACTGTTTATAGGAATAGAGGTTGGAGTTGTCTTTTTGCATGTCCGAGGCAGCACAGAGTGACGAATTCTGGCAAGTGGAGAGAGAAATTTGATCCACCACCGGGTCCAGTGGTGGAGTCAGAGTGAAGTATTTTGGAAAAAAGATGAAACAACAAAGAAGAATTCATCCAGAGGACGTGACTTAACCTTGTTAAACAATCTGAGTTGTTTTATACAATTCTGTTTCGACTGACAAAAGTGGACATGGCTTAGGAAGAAACACTGCAAAACACATTTGAAAAAAAAAAGTTTGTACTGAGCTGCTGGATATATTATTTGATTTATTCTACACATTTACAACACTTAAATAGCTGGCTTTTTGTAATTTTTTATTTTATTTTATGGTAGGAATATCCCATAAACAGCTAGATGCTAGTAAGATAACACTACTTTTTCCAAGCCAAGTTGTGGCTCTCAGGATGTTCTTGGAAACTCTACCTGCTTGCTTACCTGACCTACCTCTCTATTTGATGCTAAAGCAATATATGCACAAAAGTGCAGGACTTCAAGTACTTTGGTTCAACTGTCCTAGAACATGGGCAGTGAGGTAAAGAAGTAAACAAGAGGACAGGGTGGAAAGAAAAATGTTTCAGGTGTGACAAAAGGTTAGCAACAAACATCAAAAGAAAAAAAATACAAAAGAGTTGTATGACCAGTTGCACTGACAACCAGACAAGACAAATAACAGGAAGAGACAGACAGAGATGTTGAGGTTCTCCTTGGGAGTGACAAGGATAGATACGATTAGGAATGAGATCATCAGAGGTACAGCACAGGTTGAACAACTGGGAGATAAAGTTAGAGACCAGACTGAAATAGTTTTGACATGTCCAGAGGAGGGACAGTGGGTATATTGGTAGAAGGATGTTAGAAATGCAGCTGCCAGGAAAAAGACAAAGAGGAAGGCCAAATATATGGATGCAGTTAGAGAGGACATGGAGGTTGTTAGAGTAAGGACAGAGGATGCAGAGGACAGTCAAATGAAGAACTACAAGACAGTGGTGAGAACAGCTATGCTGTATTGGTTGGAAACAGAAGCGCTGACAAAAAATGGTAATGAATCAGCTTAAAGAAAAAGAAATAAGATTTAGACTTTGGCAGAGAAAGCTGCACCTCATTTCAAGTCTGTAGTTCACAAGGTTGACAGAGTGCTGGGGAGGAGATTAGCCCGTGTCAACATACATCAAGGAGTTTGGACCCCAGTGACAACTGCTTGCAGTTCTAGGTAAATTTTCTTCTATAATTCAGCTGAAATAGTGATAGAGATCTGCAACTTAGAGTGGCACACTTTTTTCAGCAGGTCAAGATAGATTGAAGACTGAAGAAATAAAACAAGCCGTACATCTCATTACTGTCTGTTAGGCCCTTGTCTCACTGGCTGAAGATCCTGTTACAACCTTAAACATTTCTGTCAAAACATGGATGATTCTTGCAAGATCTTGACAGGGTCTTCAGGCACATATTAAGAATACAATGTAAATACTGGAGGGTTTGGAAAATGCAGAAAACGTCTGTAGAATGAATGTGGTGATTTTTCATCATGTTGGCAGCACACATGAATTATTAGTGGGGTGTGGGGGAGCTTGGAGAAAGCCTGTCTATAATATGTGGCCTATACCCACGGGCATAGCTTGGAGATCAAATATATGAAGCAGGACTGGGCACGTTTGCCTCACGCCTAGACTACAGCCACATTATGACCACTATGCACTGGCATTGCTGCAAGTTATTGTAATGCTCTTGCCATGCATCGCATCACGTCCCACTGCTGCTCTCACCATAATAGGATTGTGACACACTCTCACCACTGCAATGACCAGTCCATGCTCTCCAAGGACCAAAATCCCCTTTTCCTTCATCCTCTCAAATTACTAAGTGGTGTTTCCTCTTCCACAGCTACGTTGAAATTGATGCGGAGGCCCAGAAAACTTGTGACAAGGTGATGGAAACAACCTAGAACAAATGTGATATGTATGTTGGTAGTGTCATGTTAGAGTGATGCGCTCTTCTAGCTGCATCCTGACATGACCTGAAAGAAATATGCCAAGGTTGTCCCCACAGCATCGGGCAGTAGTGGTGTTGTAATGGTAGTATTTTTGTGGAAATGTTCGGCTGATGTAAACAGCAGGGTACAAGTGCAAAGGTTGTCTCCTGTATGCAGGAAACAACGGTGTCATCCAATATGAAGTGAATTCTAGCAAGGGTTGTGGGCAGGTAAAACTGAACTCTCAGGAGATGTCTTGTATGAAGCCCGAACAGCTGTAGCACATTTAAAGACCACTTAATTTACTTATATAACTCTTCTCTTTTTGTGCTTCACCTAAAGTTGTCTGGCCTTATTGAAAACGTTTTTTTTGGATATGTGCAGCCTATTCTTTAAGCTTTTTCTCTCAGTCAAAGAAACAAATGGTGTGTTGAGTAATGGGTCAGCGTAGCGGTAATTTGCCATTATTTCTAAATGAGAGTGGAAAACATTTGGCTGAACGCCAAGAGAAAAGGATAGTCTTTATTTTCACGGGTAAATGATCAGCTCGGCAAATGAAGCTGCTCAGCATCAGCGTTTGTGTTTTGATGTGGCGGAGAACCACACACTGTCTGTGTGTTTTCTGTGTGTGTTTTGGCTGTGGAACATCTTGCAAGGAAAAGATTAAATGAGCAGAGAGATGAGCAAGGTGAGTGTGGACATGCTTTTAATAAACTGAGAACAGGGCTGGAGGTGAAAGAGAAGAGTAGGAGTGGGGAGAGATGGAGAAAGAGGAGGGAGAAAGTGAGGAGAATTACACTTTGGAATATTGGTCCCAGGCCGTAATTTCCTTTCTGGCAGAGGTCAGTCCACTCAACCAGCTAACACTTCTCCCACTCAAATTTGATTTGTTCAGGGGAAATGTCATTTTATGAGGCTCGAGTTCTGCTTCTGATGCTGTAAAGTCAGACATTTCGCCACACTTGCTTCTGTCTTTCAACTCGAACCTCTAAGTTATTACACATGTTCTGACAGATGAGAGTATACAAACACATTTCATATTCTTTCAGATATCACATTTTATAAATCTGATCTGAAGTAACATGCTAGCTTCATGAGGATCTTGGTACTTTTTCATGACTATTTACAAATCAAATCTAATGACCATTTCCATCAGATTTTGATAGACTTTGCTGTGTTTGTAAAACTAGACTAAATTTTTTTTTTGTCATATTCTAACAATCAGAAAACAAATATCTCCTGCACACCAACCAGGCTCATTCATCATACACACATATTAATGTGTAGAGGAGTAGCATTTGAAATTCTGTTAAACCGTTACAACATATGTCAGGACACCCAGAAGACAGGAGGATTGCTACTCACACAAAACGGAGCATCTGTTTTCTTGGGGGGTTTAGCTGTCACATAAAAAAATTGAGACAGCTTCTATTTAAAGAGATCTACACCAAAGCAAAATGAAAATGAAGAATGCTAGTTCATATGAAATATAAAGCTTTTAAAGGATTGTTTGTTTTAAATCAACTCTGTGCTTTCCTGGTGGTCGTAAACGACAAGAGCTCACAAGTACCAGTAAGAAGAGGAACAACGGAAAGACACAACGATCAGAATTCCCAAACTTTATAAATCTCTTAGGTGTTTATTAAATTACAAATGTGCATAAACAGCACATAAACATTCAGCCGAGTCTTTTCATGTGAACGCTTAACCCTTTTATTAGTCTTTAACTTTATAAGCATTCATGTTCCTTTGGGGGAAAATGGACAACATTACATAACTGTGTAAAAATACTGTTTTAAAATGTATTTTTTTCTACAATAAACTAGTCAGTCTTTTATAATAATCTCAGCTTGAAATTAAAATATAAACTTTAAAAGAATTTTAAAGAGACTTTAGTTTAAAAAAACTTCACATTTAAATTGTTTTAATCTATAATATGTTCATTTTATGGCAAATAATTTTGTGCAAGTAAATAAAAACATAAATAACAGAATTTCTCTCTATTAGTACACCCAAAATGATATTTTGACAATTAAAAAATAAAATAAAATTACAATCCACAGTTTTGTGAAGACCACCGGACCCTTCAGATCTGGTAGTCAAAAATGAGGCCTTGTTTACAGTCAAACTTGCACGTGTCACTCATCAGACACCGAGGTTTTTTTCAACTCTACTTGCACACAATGCCAGTTTTAGTTTTGTTTTTTTGCTATTGATACTAGTGAGCAGCTGCATCTGCTACTGACATTCTGCTTGGAGTGAAGCCCACAGGAGTAATCTGTTCTGCGCAGTGGATTGTTCAATTCTGCAGCCTTCGTACATGTGGAACACCTTTTTTGAACTGAATGTTTTCTTGTGCAACCTGGACGTGTTTTTGCTCTTTACATCCAACCTAAAAATATTTTGTTGGACATGATGAGAGGCAGCAACATCTGGCTGAGAGTACGTACTGTTTCCAAGGTAAGTTTCGGCCACCTGCCTCTGATTTTTACAAAACCTCTCAAAGGTAAAAGCAGAACACCACCCAGTCACCTATCATAAAACTTGTAAGGATAGAGGTAAAAAAAAACATTACTGAGGGGGATCATTATTTTATGATATGGGATTAAAAGTAGTACTTACAATGCAATTTAATGCAGACAATTTTATCTCAAAGGAACATGAGTGTGGTGAAGTGAGGTTGCAACAGCATTTGACAAAAATTATTGCAAAAAAAAAACAAAACAAGGACTTTTAGGCTTTGTCAGAAAGAAATTGCATTCATTGACAGCACGAAAAAAAATAAAAAAAAATAAAAAATGCACAAATTATTTTTATCCAGTATACAATACAAGCTTATCAAGCAAGTTTATCTATTTTTTTATTTTCACATTCGTACATTTTATTCAGTTCTGGATTGTCTTCTATTTTGCATTAGGTTTAGGCTAATTTAAGTTTTGTACTATTTTTTTAAACCTACTGTTGCACTGATGTCAAAACAACTCACGACACATTAGTTTGAACAAAAATTAAAACCTTTTCAATTTTAGAATAGATCAAACTACTTTTATTGGACTCATGTCCTGTGGAACAATGTTCACAGCACAAACTGAAGGGATATGTCTGTACAGCATGACTGTTATTTATCACCGTCAGCTGACAGTCTAGCTGTACGACTCACTCCTTTACAGCGTACTGTACCGTCTGAACAGGGTGTTTTACGTCCTCTTTAGTTGGGAGCTATTGTCTATTAAAAAACAAACAAACAGATAAAACAAAACTTAAAATATATAATTTGACTTTTTTTTTCTGCCGTACCAAACTAACTCTCAAAACAAAGATGTGCACCAAACCGTGATTTATTTGTACCACAACACACATCGTTGTCCTCAGGCTGTTTCTGTGAGTAGCAAGTTGGCCATCAGGCCTATAACATTTGATTGTTATGCACTTATGATCGTTTTATGAAAAAACACTTTATGAAAATCTTGAAACATCCTGAAAAAGTTTTGAAACAACACAAATATCATCAGCACATATCTGACGAAAAGCCTGTTACTCTTTAATCACTGAATGTTGTTGTGAACCAGAAAGAATGAAAGGAAATATAGTTCTGAAATCTCACGCATTTGGCCAATTGAATAAACCTCCACAACACTGAAGTTCAGTCAGAGTGAGAAACAAAGCTCCAGTTTTTGTAGAGAAACATTATTAAAGTTCTGCTCCCTTATTACTGACGACACAAATGATTACAGATGACTCAGTTATTTAACAACGGAGCTTTCCATCATTAAATAGCAAACATTTTACTTCAAGTGTTTCAAATAAATCCAGCTTACCACATTCTTTTTTGGGCTCATCAGATCGGTCCTTACAGTCCTTGACAGAGTCACACACCTTGGAGCTGTCAATGCACTCTCCATTCTTACACTGAAACTTCAGGGGTCCTTCACACTTTGTGGCTGCAAAATAGGCATCGTAAAAACAATTATCGCACACATCAGAAAAATGTAATTGGTCTAGATGCTTACTGAGTGGATATTACAAACACAAACTTTTAGATTATTTATAAAAACAACAACAACAACAACAACAACAACAACGGTAGAAACTGATAACATTTCCAGTATATGAATATATTTGAACCGGCAGGAGGAAGAAAATATTCTGATACCCACCATTGACACAGCCTGACTCGTCACTGTGGTCAGGACAGTCATGGACCTTGTTACACTGTTTGGTACCGTGGATACAGGAACCATCACCACACTGAAACTCATCAGGACGACACGTCAGCAGAGCTGTACAGGGCACAGTCACACAAATAAAAGGAAGACAAATTTCAGTTTCATGTTTTAAATAATTGCTACAAAGAAAATACAAAGAGAACATTTAGCTTAGACTGAAAGATTTAAGCTGCAGGAAATTACTATAGCTGCTAATTCTTGTATTGAAATCTTGCATAAAAGCAGCAATATTGAGGAATTATATACTTTGTCTCAGTTCATTCATATTCTGTTTGGAGTTGCTAAGAAAAAAAAAAGGACAACCTGAGGGTGTGTGATGAATGACTTTGACTATAGAAACCCAAAGAGGCAAGCTGCACTGGGTCACAGCAACATTCATTAATATCCTACACACAGACAAGCTTTTTATCAACAGCACCCAGAATGCTCATATAACTCCTCCCTAACCACACAAAACAAATATATATGACTGAGTGCATTAGATTTAGTGTTATTACGAGACAGGCGGGACACTGGGGACATAATGGAGAAAAGGCTGACAGATTTATGCTGACAGGCAGACATACACTTTTAAATCCCACCAATTGTATGTTTTCAGTTGAAGATCTGGTACATAATTTGATTTCTAAAACAAAACATTCTACATATTGTCCTGAATGTATATACAGTAGATGTGTACTAGAGTAGTGAATGTGGAGCATAAATCAGTTCATGTTGAGAGATTGAATTTGTAAAAACAAACCAAAAAGTTATTATCTTGTAAATGTTGCTTTAATAAAGCCCCCTCAGCATGACAGGTGTGTTTGATGTGTGCACTGCTCATTTTGGTAATGAATGCTGGGACTATCTGGGTTTCACACTCTGATGTTATTGAGCCAAGAGCTTCAGGGTTCTGTCATCCATGATCAGCCGATACAAAAATCTGTTTTATCATAAAGCCCCATCGTTTCAGTGTGTTTATCAACAGAAAAACACCCTTCACCCAACAAATTTAGGAAAGAAAATCTCTAACATCCATCCATCCATCCATCCATCCATCCATCCATCCATCCATCCATCCATCCATCCATCCATCCATCCATCCATCCATCCATCCATAACTTTCCAAGAGTTTTATTAAAATCTGTCCAGTGGTTTATGAGCTATTTTGCCAACAGAAAAACGGAGTTGCCTTCAACAATTAATGTCAAGGCTGTTTTGTCAAAGATGTTACATAATAAGTAGCCATCAAACAATATGTTGGAGACATAATACCATAACTAATTTCAGCTCAATACTGGTAAAACTGACTAAGTAATAACATTTTTTTGCGTTAGCCAAGATTGGGTTGCTGTGCCAGCCACCTTGAATTTAATTATGAAGAGTCAATGAACCATGAGTGTCCATTGCCCGTTAAAAAATTAGAACAAATTCATGCTAAGTGACTTGCTTGGTTATACTGTACTTGAGAAAAATAAGAAAAGACAGTATAGAGAAAATAAAAAGGCACAAAGAAAATCCACTCAGACAAAAATATAACTAAAAATCTTACGACAGTCGGATTCATCAGACTTGTCCTTGCAGTCTGGATCTCCGTCACACTTCCAGGTCAGACGAATACACTCCCCATTGTTGCAGCGAAACTCCCCGGCAGTGCAGTTGGCTCTGTGGTTATGCAGGTACAAGGCCCCATCACCACCACAGCGTTCCGGACCCTCGTCGGAACTGTCGGAGCAGTCTGGGTCTCCGTCACAGCTCCACATGAGTGGCACACACTCAGAGGTGTTACAGCGGAGATGGTTGGGCCCACAGGTCAGAGGGGAGGTACACTTGAGTTCGTCGCTGCCATCTCCACAGTCATTGTCACCATCACACACGTAGACGGTGGCCAGGCATTTGCGGTTGGCGCACATAAACTCTCCGCTGGGGCAGGCTTTGGCATCTGAAGAGCAAACAGCAAAATCAAAACTGCCATTAGACTAAAGGATAAAGGAAAGATATCCAGATGCATGCTCAATAATCCAGGTAGAAAAATCTAAAAAAGTTGTCAGGTCATCTGGTGGTCAGGTCCAGAGGACCTGACTTAACATTTTTTAGATAAATGAAGGAGTTTGCGTATACTAAAGTAGAAAATTTTGAATTGTTTGCTGTAACACAAATACATATTTTTTCACTTTGTCACTACCTTCTATTTTATTTTTTTTATCAAAGTAAGTTACAAGTCCTTGGCTATGAAAATTGTAATGACCTAAACACCTTCAAGTAGACTGAACTAGTGAAGATAAAATTAGGATGAGTTTTGCCTTTTTAAAAAAAAACTGGTTTCACCATCTGTGAGCATTAAATAATTGGTATCACCATCTGTGAGAATACCAAACGAGCCACTAGGGAGCACAAGCCAGTGTATCTCTTGTGACGATCCCAAGCTTGGGTAAATGGTGAGGGTTGTGTCAGGAATGGCATCCGAAATAAAACTTGCCAAAACTATAATGCGAGTTCATCAAAGAGAAACCATACCGGATCGGCCGAGGCCCGGGATAACAACGACCGCCACCGGTGCTGTTGACAAACAGGGTGCCGGCGGAAATTGTGCTACTGTTAGTTGAAGACCACGAGGAGGGAAATGTGTCAGGAGACAGAGGGAGAAGAGGAAAGTGAAGAATGTAAGACTGAGGGTTGCAACTCTAAATGTGGGGACAATGACAGGCAAAGGTAGAGAGCTGGCTGACATGATGCAGAGAAGAAAGGTAGATGTTTTATGTGTCCATGAGACCAAGTGGAAGGGCAGCAAGGCTCGCAGCATTTGAGCAGGGTTCAAACTGTTTTACCATGGTGTGGATAGAAAGAGAACTGGAGTAGGGGTGGTCCTGAAGGAGGAGTTGGCAAAGGATGTAGAAGGTAAAAAATGTGCCAGATAGGGTGAAATGTCTGAAGATAGAAGTAGAAGGTCTGATGCTAAATGTTGTCAGTGGTTATGCTCCACCAGGTGAATGTCACATAGAGGAGAAAGAGACGTTTTAGAAGGATCTGGATGAAGTGATAGAGAGTATTTCCAGGGAGGAGAGAGTGGTGATCGGAGCAGACCTGAATGGACATGATGGTGAAGAAAACAGAGGGGATGAGGAACTGATGGGACATGTTTGATGTCAAAGAAAGAAACCAGGAAGGACAGATGGTGGTGGATTTTGCCAAAAACAATGGAAATGGCTGTAGTCAACACTTATTTCCAAATAAGGGAGGAACAAAAAGTGACCTATAAGAGTGGAGGAAGGAGTACGCAGGTCGACTACATTCTGTGTAGAAGAGGAAACCTGAGGGGGATCAGGGACTGTTATGTTGTGGCAGGGGAAAGTGTGGCCAGACAGCATTGGACAGTTTTGTGTAGAACAACTGTTGTTGTGAAAAAGAGAAAAAAGAACAAAATCAGAGAAGAAGACTAAATGGTGGAAACTAAGGAAGGAAGAATGTTATGATAAATTCAGAGAGCAGCTGTAAAAGGCTCTGGGTGGTAAGAAAGCGCTTCAAAATCACTGGGCTACTACAGCAACAATAATTAGAAAGACAAGCAGGAAGGTACTTGGTTTGTCATCTGGACATAGAATGGATGATAAGGAAACCTGGTGGTGGAATAGTGAAGTGCAGAAAGTTATTCAAAGAAAGAGGTTAGCCAAGAATAAATATGACAGTAAGACGACTGAAGAGAGGAGACAGGAATATAAGGAGATGCAATGTAGAGCAAAGAGGGAGATAGCAAAGACAAAGCAGAAGGTGTATGATGAGTTGTATGGGAGGCTGGACACTAAAGAGGGCGAGAAGGACTTGTACCAAGGGGCAAGACAGTGGGATCAGGCTGAAAAGGATGTGCAGCAGGTTAGGCTTGTTAAAGATAGGAATGGTAATGTTCTAACAAGTGAGCAGAGTGTAATGTGAAAATGGAAGGAGTACTTTGAGGAGCTAATGAATGAAGAGAATGAAAAAGAAAGAAGAGTAGAGGTCATAGAAACTGTGGACCAGGAAGTGGGAAAGATTAGTGAGGGTAAAGTTCAGTAAGATCTGAAAAGAATGAAGAAGGGGAAGACAGTAGGAGGCCAACATCTGGAGGCCAACTCGCCAATGGCCATGGATCATGTTTATGTGTCTGTAGTATACACTTATTTTATTTATTTATTTGTTTACTTACTTATTTATTTCTATTTTCTCTTTATTTTTTATGCATTCTACTGTGAATAGTGTCAACTGACCTGCACAGTTTGAGCTGTTTTTTGCGGGGAGGAGGAGCAAATTGGAAATTGTGACAGAAACAAAAGAATAAGAAAAAAAAACAGACAAAAAACAATAAGGAGGCTTTAATGCTTATGCTCTGCTGCTCTAATTAAGAAAAGCATTTCAGTAGTTGGGATTTAAGGTGCTCTAATAAGGTATTTAAAACTAGGTGCTTCTAGAAAACGACAAATAAGACAACATAGTGAAGTGGGGCACCATGAACACAATTTTTTAAATTAAAGTAATTGTATTTTAGCAACTTAAAAATGATTTTTTTAAACTATCAATATAAGAAGCAGTCTGATTTGCTAATCAGTACATCAATGCCATATGTCACAATTATTATTTTTATCCTTTTAAACCAAAACATTTATTTATTAAAATGTAACAAAAACAATTGCCAACAATGGATAACGCATCAGAAATTAAAACAAGTGTTGATGATTCAGTTCAGTGAAGTGGTTACTATTTATTAATGCTAAAAAAAAAAAAAAAGAGAGAGTTGCAGCTGCATCTGGAGTGTTTTTTTATCTGCTGCCCTGATTTTGCTTCAACCCACACTTAGTCCTAATTTGGCTCTAAATAATTAAGAAGATTCAATAAACATGTGCATTATTACACAAGGGGCAGCCTATTAGTTATACACGAGTGGCCGTGTTACAGCAGAGAGACATGGGGGTGGGGGGCAATGAGTGGAAGCACTTTGAAATTTCTAAGCAACTTCTATCCCACAGACCATTTGTGATGTTGTTGAGCAAGTTGATGGATTTTAAGTGATAAATTATTAACTAAGAAAACCATCATTTTGTCAGTTGGATAGATTTTTTTTATTATCAGTTTGGATGATTTAGTACAACTACTTAAACAAAACCAAGAAAAAACATTTGTATAATTTTATGTATGAAACATGCAACCTTTCATAAAAAGCAAATGCTATTAGACTTAACTCACTTAATTTGTCAATAAATACTTAAATCCCTGTAGTGTGATATTTATTTTCTTATCTATAGTGACAGAATACAACACGAGGGTTGCTCATTCTTAATAACACAAAAAGCTAAATGTAATTTCTGGTCATAACTATTATTTTAAACATGTTAATCCTGGTAGCAGAACAAAAAATCTGCTTGTTTTAAAAACCTTGTTTAAATATCCTAAGAGTTCAAATGGTATATGGTTTATTTTAATGATTTACAGTGTTTACTGGAAATGGACTTGATGCTGGGTGGCACGGTGGTGCAGTTGGTAGAACTGCCACCTCTCAGCCAGAAGGTCGCTGGAACAAATCACAGTTTGCATGTTCTCTCTGTGCATGCGTGGATTTTCTCTGGGTAACCCAGTTTCCTCCCACATACTAAAAACATGCATGTTAGGCTGATTGGTAACTAAATTGTCCCTAGATGTGAGTCAGAGAGTAAATGGTTGTTTGTCTCGTCTCTGTGTGGCCCTGTAATGGACTGAGACCTGTCCAGGGTGTCCCCCACCTCTCACACAGTGACTGTTGGATGTGGGCATCAGTGACCCCCATGACCCGAAAAAGAAAAAAAGGGTAAAGATGATGGATGGATGGATGGATGACTTGATGCTGGAACTATCAAACAACCGTATTAATCCAAATAACATTAAGTTAAACTAAACATGAGCCAAGTGCTTATACATCTGAGATAAAGTGTCCCTTTAAGTACTCATTCTAAATAGTGCAGAGTTGGCTAAAGATGACAGATGAATAATAAAACAAATGAAGGCTTGGACACAGCTGCAGTAGCATCCAACTGCCTGGCCTGAGTCGAGCTGCAGTAACAAACCTAATATAAATGGAATTGCATAAATACAACCATCAAAACCTCTCAATTAAACATGATTTACAGAAAAACACTGGTCTGCATTAAATATATTATCTCCTTTATTTTTTTTTTTATTATTTGCCTACAAGACCAGCAATACCAAATAATAAGGAGATAATGTTTTCCTCACATTTGTGCTTTTGCTGCCATGCACTATTTTTACTGTCTTCCAGTCTAAACACCTCAAGCACTATTGCTTCAATCACTTTCAATCACCAAGCATGGCGAAGGAGTGAGAAAAGAAGAAGCCAATTCTTCACAGCTTCTCAGGAAGTAGGCCAAGGATAGTACCCAAGGGGTTCTTGGGGGGTGGGGAGCTTACAGTGTGTGTGTGTGTTGCAAGATTGGCTGTGTGAAGTGGCATCGTATTTGCTTGTTCAAAGGGTGCATGGGGCGAGAGCAATGACAATTTAATAGCAAAATCCTCCAACATCAGCAGGAAGCTCCAAATGTCTGATGTTTCACAGCCGACATTGCTTCACATCAAGCAGACTCTGTTTTGGGTATACAGGTGTCTTCTTCAAGACTGTCAAATTATACAGTGACAGCTTTAATCTCATAGGCGAACAAGTGAGATTAAGAGGGATAAAATGTAATAACATACGGAACAGGTGATAACTGAGCCAGCTATGTTCAGCCAGTTGAGTTCTTCTAATAGTCATTTATGTTGCTGACATAATTTCTATTAAAATGTCTTCTTGAAGCACAGTTTGTTGTGTAAAGACTACCAAGTTCATAATTTTACTTTATTCAATGAAAACAGAGAGGCTATTTAAAAACCTCACCAGAAGCACAGTCCTCCTCGTCTGCTCCGTTCTCACAGTCTTTCTCCCCATCACATCTCCATGACAACGAGACACACTTGTTGGTGGATCCTCCACAGTCAAATTTCTCAGGAGGGCAGGTCTGTTTGCCTGTGGACCGAGACCAAAACAACAAGAAGATGATTGCGGTGAATTCGTAGTCCCATTGACGCAACAACTAAACTAACAAGACATGGCTGGACCTGACTTCTATCACCCCACGGTGCCGTTCAAACTCATCCAAAACGGCACCACTTGCCAATTAACTTTACTGTCTGAGCTGCCTTTGCTTCTGCAGAGGGACTTGCAGGAGGATTCTGAAACACATCAAACATTTAGCTGGAAAACAAAACAAAAAAACAACTTCCCCCCTCCTTCCTTTTCCTGTTCTAGTTGGCAGGAAATCAATTTGATCCTGATTACAGTGTGTTTAATAAGACACATGTTAAAAATAAATCTGAAAACCTTCTAAATTAAATGAAAGGCTCAGCTCACACGATGAAAATCATTTTCTTTAAATCTCCCCCAATATCATGTTATAATTGTCTTAAGTGTAAATTCATTCAACCTTTATTTAGACAGGTAAATCCCATTGAGCCTCGAGGAATCATTTACAAGAGAGACCTGATTTCAACAAAGAGTGATGAAAAACAATGGACAACAGCGACAAATGTATAATATTAGAAGTATTTTAAACAGTTTTAAGTGAAATACACGTTGCTCTAATAATGTTCTGATGCAGTACATCACACACAGCTAGTTACAGGACATATTTTATCCAGTTTTACCAAACCAGTTAAAAAAAACTGTAATTTTTCTTCACATATTATTTTGACATTTTCAAAGTGGAGTTCTGAGTAAAAATCATTTCCTGTTGCGGATAGCTCTTTGAATGACCTTAGTTTGGTAAAATAAAGTTTCATTCTCATAAAGTTGATTAGAAAATGGGTTTATGAACAGAGCCAAGACCAATGTGGACTGCTATTACGTTAAACTACTGAAATGCAGGGAAAAAAATCATTGCAGCTCATTTTATAAACCTAACCACACTATCAATTTCTCTTTGCACAGTTATTTCGAAATTTGTTTTTGGCATTCACCAACAGCATCAGTAACTAGCTGAGTCACTTCCAGCCAAAACTTCAAAATATATCAGCTTCTTCAGTTATCTTCTTCTCTTGGCTTTTCCCTCTTCAGGTGTCTCCACAGTGAGTCATCCTCCTCCATCTCACTCTGTCCTCTGCATCCTCTGTCCTCACTCCAACTACCTCCATGTCCTCTCTAACTGCATCCATATATCTCCTCATTGGACCAAAGTTATTTTAAGATTGCAAAATCCACTTTAGAATTGGGTCTTCTTGGACAAATATAATTTGATCTACAAAATTTCATAGTGCGTCATGCAAACACTATTTTTTTAAACCTCTACACTGCCAGCAATTTCTTACAACATGATTAATTCAGCAAATACATTATGAAATTACTGCAGGTACATAGGCCAAAAACCAGGGGCTGGGGGGTTGGCGTCAAGGAGATTCCCCGCCTGCCCATATTTAAAAAAAGCAAAGACTGGTCACACTAACAATAAATAAGTTCAGGAAACTATACTTAGTAATTTAATATTAAATACAAAATGCAAATCAACCACTCATACTGGCAAAATGATGTATGTATGCCTTTTGAAAAATATGTCTTCCCACCAGCCTAACAATGGTTTTGTTCATTACTGCTGAAACCGGTTTAAGTCATCAGATGTACAGGAGGCTGCCTGAGCACTGAAGAGGCAGGGCATTGCTGACTGGCTTATGAATGGTGACTATTTATTATGTTTTTAATTGTTTGTTTGATAGACATTTGCTTCAAATGTGATTATAAAAACATTGTAGACGACTTGTGTTTTTTTATTTTATTTTAAAAAGAACATTGTGAAACTTGCTTGGGTGGTGCTATGTTATTTACACCTGGTGTCTTTTGTGCTCTGTCCAGCAGGTAGGCTACAATATTTTATATTCTGTTCTTACAATTTGAATCTGAGTACAGTGACAAAGAAAATATCATGGAAATGGCTCCAAATGCCCTTGAAGTGAGCTCCACTTTCTGGCAGAAGCTGTTTATGATAAGCATCAGGATCAAACACAGCCTCATAAGATTAGACAAAAGTTTTTTTTATATAATAATAACTCATTATATAATATTAGACAAAGATGTACCAATATCCACTAAATGGGGCTAGCGCTGAAGGCCCAGGCTGCACCAAAAATAATAAAGGTAACTTCTACTTTTTGCACTTAAAAAAAGGTTAATCAAATATACAGTATTGTAAAAGTGACTAAATATTTTTGAATTAGCGTGTGCATGAACCACACTATGTTGGAGATTTGAATTGTTTCAAAATAGCATACATACACCTCATGTTCAGACTAGCTATTAGTTAATTTAATTTCCTTTCTTTATACAGATAGTCTCATTGAAACATAAGTGGCTCATTTGCAAGATAGTAATAAAACATATGCAAAATCTGTTATACAAAAATAAAAGAATACAATCAATAAAATGTAAAATATATACTATATAAAATATACTATACAAATTAATACAAGCTGGATTGTTCTCTTCAGGTCCAGGGTGAGGTTCTGCCTCAAGTGGAGGAGTTCAAGTATCTCGGGGGTTTGTTCATAAATGAGGGAAGAATGGAACGTGAGATTAACAGACGGCTTGTTGCAGCGCCATCTGCAGTATTGCGGACTCTGTGCCGGTCCGTTGCGGTGAAGATGGAGCCAAGCTGTAAGGCAAAGCTCTCTGTTTACCGGTCGGTCTACGTTCCTATATTAATGTCATGTTTGTATATGTATGTCCTTTATGTAGATGCCTGCTGACAATGCTGCAAACCAATTTCCTTACGGGGACAAATAAAGCTAGGTAGCTCGCTCTCTCTCTCTCTCTCTCTCTCCTCTCTCTCTCTCCTCTCTCTCTCTCTCTCTCTCTCTCTCTCTCTCTCTCTCTCTCTCTCTCTCGCTCTCTCTCTTGCACTCTCTCTTGCACTCCATCCATCCATCTACCCACCCACCCTCACCTATGGTCATGAGCTCTGGGTAGTGGCTGAAAGAATGAGATTGCATTCTTTCACGGTTGAAAGGAGTTTCCTCCACAGGGTAGCTGGACTCTCCCTTAGAAATGGGGTGAGAAGTCCAGTCATCCAGGAAAGACTCGGAGTAGAACCGCTGCTCCTCCACATCAAGAGGAGCCAGTTGAGGTGGTTTGAGCATCTGGTAAAGATGCTCCCTGGGGGCCTCCCTAGGGAGATGCTTCGGGCATGTCCAACTGAAAGGAGGCCCTGGGGAAGACCCAGGACACGCTGGAGAGACTATGTCTCTTGGTTGGTCTGGGAACGCCTTGGAGTCCTTCCAGAAGAGCTGGAAGAGGTGGTTGTGGAAATAAATGTCTGGGACTCAGCTCAAGCTGCTGCCCCTCCCGACCCAACTTCAGAATAAGCGGAAGATAAGATAATGGATGGATGGATTAATAGAAGCATATCAAACAAAAGCTACACAGATGTAAAACTAACTATCCCTAATGTGTGTTCCAGCTGGCAGGGCCAGAGTATGAGAACACCTTAAACAGCTCAGCATGTACTCGTAGGTGATGAAAGCCTGAGAGCAAAAGCTGTGATGGTGCTGTGTACCTGTCATTTAATTAGACAAATATGATGGAACCAGATGATTTGTAAATAAATGTATTTTCATCAAAAGATCATCAGACCTGTTAGAATTCAACTCCATTTCTCCAAACTGAACAACTAAAGTGTTGAAATGTTGTTTTAAAATAAGCAACAACTTCTTTTTGTGGACCCTACACCCTGACCTCATCAAAGCAAAGTTAACCAATTACACATTGTGTGAAAGCATAATGACAACAATTTCTGAGCCATAATATAATCTATGTTTCTGTCACCAGCAATGGTAGCTGTAATTTGTATGAGTTATTGAACCAGACAAGACAAAATACTTTAAAGCTGTTTTAATGTGCAAAAACATCTGTGCACAAAGTTAGGATGCTGCATTCATGATGAATCTGTTTTTTTTAATCTGGTAAAAATCTGATGGGCAGATGATTTAAGTAATTATACAAGTTAAATCTTTCATGGAATTTAAAGAGTCAATTTACAAAATGAGATTCATAATTAGGAGAATAAATCGAGTTTCTGTGGCCGCAAAACCAGCGAGATATATTTTATTCATAAAACATGTCCTTTTTATATGTAAAGGCAGATTTAAGGTTTGAAATAAGCTACAACTGATTATTAGATGAAATTTTACCTTTAAAAGCAATGCAACTTTTGTCTAGCTGTCATGAATATTTATGATTTTTTTTACATCAATAGAACATCATGTAAGACATGTATTGAACAAGAATATGGTTCACAAAACATAAAATATTCTCATTAAAGTTTCCAAGTAGAGGGCCATATTTCTCTACATCATCAATAAGAGAAAACTAATACTGCACAGATACACAAGGCTGTCACATATATGAATTTGTAATGGTCCACTCACTCATATTTAACAATTCATTTTTGTTTATGGCACAAGTAGAGTATAAGATATGAATAATTTCTAATACAAATGATAGTTCAAGAAAACCGATTTATCCAAGCTTCATGAATATGAATGAGTAATAACTTCTGACTGGAAATGCAAAATAAATAAAGAGCGAAATAAATGCCTGCTTTCTTTAGTGTCTAAATAAGATTTTCAGAAAAAAGCACATGAGAAAAACAAAAAAAACCAAACAAAAAAAATCAGTAAACTTTATTAAATGGTGACAAACTGGGAAAATGTAACATTTCTGTTAGTTCCATCCAGCAGTTTTAATATAGAAGAATGAAACTGATTATAAAAACAAACACAATTTCCTTAAAAAAAAAACCATTTACACACAGCCTTTGGGAACACAGTTTTTGACTGATTTAAGGGTGGTATGGAAATATCAGAGGACTTTATTCCACCACTGTGGGTAAGATTAAGATCTTCACTCAGAATGATGACTGCACTCAAACTTTTAGAATATGGCTGGATTACGGCAACTTTCGAAAACGCTCCAGAATTTAGCTT